TCTGGATTTTCTATCTACAAAGCTCCTATTCTAAGCTACATAGCAAAAGATGCTTAAAAGTCTTCTATGTCCAATTCTCTAACTTCGTTTCGTTCTGAGCCTTTTCATTTGGAAAGAAATATCAGTCGAATGAAAGTCCAGATATTCTAATAAATGCAGTGAATCGTAGGTAACTTAACACGTAACATTAATGTACTTTTAAATCATTGATGCTTCAGTTCTCTATTACTAAAAGCTGTTCTTTAACATTGTAAACAATACACATGATAGCACTTTAACGCATTTTTTGTTGCAGAATAGTTCGGTTGTACAAATAAAATAAACAGGTCAACAAAATAAACATTACCTGGCCAAGTGTTCCCTAACTTTAGAGCTGAGTAACTTCTGATTGCTTCAAGCGATTTCATTGCTGTTTGAAGTGTTATCCAGCACGATTCTTTTCCCGTCAGTGGTTGTCTTTGCAAACGCCAAGTGAGTCCGGTAAAGATTCTACAGGGTGTACATACATATTTTATTTACAGGATAGTCCTATACAGACAACTTTACAGTATTGCAGTGATAATACTCTTTATTTTGAATAGCTGTTCAAAATATCCAGCTTATATTGAGTCTAAAACTTCATACCTAAATGACAAAAATTCAATCAATTCATTTTAGGACACCCTGTTATAAATAAAAGGGATTGGCGAAAAAATTAAAAACCCGTTTCAAGCCTAAAGCCTATGTATACGTTTTGAATGGTGAACAATAAACGAAAACCTTGTTTGCTTCAAATGGGAGCATGCCGGATTTTTTGAAACTTTGCATTGTTTTATTTGCAACCTTGTGGAAACTTTATCTAAAGTAGTGAATTTTCGCAAAAACTCGCACTGACAAAAAGGGTTTCCATCTAGCTAACACTTTAAGCATAAATCCAATCACTAGCAGCAATCAGAAGTTATCGAGTTCCAAAATTAGGACAAATATCGCCCTGTAACGTTTATTTTATGTGGCAGTTTATTTTACTTAGAGCAAACTTTCAGAAAGTAAATTTAAGAGGTAATTTGTTTTTAGATATCCAAAAAATTCATATATTTTCCAACATATAAAGGCGAGTTAGGTTAGCGGTTAGTGCCTCATACGTTTAATGAAATATCTATACTAATATTTGTAATATTTTATGGTCTCTATTTGTGATTTCTTTGTTCTACTATTTGTTTTGTTTTCCTATTGCTTGCGGTTTGCTCATTTGGATTATTTCACTATTCGTCTAATCGAAGTCTCTTTGAATGTCCTTCCGTCTTCTAGTTGTTTACTTCTTGCGCTCTGATGTTTAAGCAAATTTGGCAGCTCAATTTGTTTGTGAGGGAACGCAGATTTCGCTCTAAAGATATTTCTGCATTCAGAAAATATATTTTTACATTTCGCTGTTCCTAGCTGTTATTATCACAAATCTGGACATTTTCTATTTATTTAAACTACCTTAAATTTAAAACTACCTTAAAAATACCCATGACTTTATATTAACATAACTTTTCACACTAAGGATATTTTCGTAAAACACCAGTTTATAATTCATAGCCGCAATTTGTTCAAATTAATTTTTTGTCAGATTTCTCAGTAATAAATACGTGGTATTGCAGATGTTTGGGCACGTTATGGAGACTTCATCATAGAGGTGCGGAAACAATGCATATTTACTGTATGATAATCTGAAAATTCCATCTCGCTTACTTCATTGCAAAAGTTTCCCATCGGCATTGAAAAACGTTTATCGGAACACCCAATAAATCATCCTTGTTAATTGAACTTTTAGAATAAATCAAATCGATCCATTTCTAGCTTTCGAAAACATGGCTTTAGCCGGAGTTTCGCCATTAAAATCCAACTTTCCTTTTCCGCATCCTTAAAAACCGCCTGCAAGTAGGAAATGGGAAAATATATGATTTGTTCTTCCGCAGAAAATGATAAATACCGTACAGTTTTCTACTTTGCTTAAAGCCGTTTGGTACTAAAACGAGAGGTATATGGCTTTGCCGTTTGCGAATATGTGAATGGCCACATAAAATAAAACGTTATAAAGTCGGAAGAGATAATGTTTTAGTTTAGGGAAGAGTGCATTCGTAACTCACGTGTTTTCATGTAATGGATAGCCAAATGGAATTGTTGAGATATACAGAATTGTGATGAGTAGGGAATAAAATCCATAACAAGCAGAAAATAGAAGTTTCACAAAAAATTGTCAACAGATTTAGAAAAACAGTTATCAACATCAATTAAAACTGCACAAGAAACATTGCCGCCTTTGTAAAATAAAATTTTACAAAAATAATTACATGACTAGCTAGTTGTTTCGGAATTTCCGGAATTTCATTCTAACAAATACCCACAACAAGGACACCGCAAGTTCCCAATCTATTTAGCGAACACGTTGGGCGTATTAGGGCAGAAACTTGGTATTTCCAGCTTGTAGTTTACCACACGTGAATGTGGCTGATATAGAACAGATGTGGACAGTGCCACATAATTTATGAGATGGGTGAACAAGACAAGCATGCTATTTTTTTCAATTATAAAAGCTGTAATGTAGAAAAATGGCCTGCAAAACTGAGCCATTCTGAAAACACTCACAGGAAATTTCGGGCCCACAGAGGGCTAAAGTCCATTTATATATGAAAAATAATTTTAAAAGCTTTTTGTTAAATATCACAATAAGAGAAGGGTTAATTTCGGATTCTTAATATGGAAAACACGCCTTTAAAAGTTCAACTGTTATGAAATTTCAAACACTTGGCAGATATATTTTTAATCGTCCCAGAAACCATACAAACCTTTGCTACAGTAAAACAACAGATATTCTCGTTTTGAGGATAAGGAGCAACAAAGGTGTTTCTTATTTAGACACAGCCCAGTGGCTTCATATATTTTCTGGCCTGAGTTATTCCATATCCATATCGTTCTACATCTTTTATGAAACTAAAGGAAAACTTAGTCGTCGCAATAAGAAAGTAACACATTTGTTGTCTGGGGAGTAGGATTGGTAATTTAATTTGCCAAGTTTCTCTCGAGATGGCCAGAAAGTTGAGCTGATATGCTCAGATGAAATTGGCTTACTGCCAATCTACTTCACTAATAAAGAACTTTAGTTATTTAATATGCAAATTGTACATATCTGCTGCCTTCTCTCTTACGATTCCATACACAAAAGCATTTACACTTGAAGCGAAATTCCTTGAAATAATAACGCTATTCTCAAAAATTCTCCGACTATCCGAATAACCCGAATAGCTACTTTTAGCTCTAAGTGGCACCATTAGAGCAAGGAATAGTATTTGAACAAATTGCCATCGCTTTTACGCCAAAGTTCTTTTATTGGACCCCTTGCTAACTTTCTTCCCGAAATACCCCAAGGAACACTAATCATGAGAAAATGCCATTTTTTAAGACCCAACATAATCGGATTTCAAAGATAAACGAACTGGTGGAAATTGGCGATTCGAATCACGCGCCATTCACATTGTAATTAAATTGTTTTTGCTCTCTCCGTGGCATGGGGTTGGAATAATGAGTAGGTTTCAAGTCGTTCATCTCCAGAAATGTTGGTTACTGGACCCTTGCCGAAGTTTTTCCCTTGCTTTCCCAGATTTGGCATTTAAACCGTCTGGAGCTTACAGATAAGAATAATTAAATCACCAAATTGACTCCATTGGATCGATTTACTTTGCAACATCAATATTCGAGTTCTCTTGATACAATTTGGATTTTTGAAAGACAAAAATAGATAAATTGTAAGAGTACCAACTCTTTTTCATACCCCCACTAAAGAAAATGTTTGAATTTATTTGTCTGTAATTGTATGTAATTGTATGTGTTGTCTGTATTAATATAATCCCTTTATGCTTGTAAACGAAATCTCTTAGTTCTTCGGTTTATATAGGTACAGAATATTTCACATTGGTAAGTCGATATGGACGAAATTTACCAAACGGTAAATATGCACTTGAAGGAAAAAATCGCGTTTAGTTAGGGTCGCAAATACTTATACTTCACATTAAAAAAATAGAGTTATTGACTTTAGACTCACCTGCAGCAAACCAGTGACCGTTTCTTAAAGGAAATTGTTTTCTGTAAAGTTCTTTTGTTTTTAAAAACACGTCTCCTTATGGACTACTTTTTTGCAGCTTTGAACATTTTTTAAACAAATTTATAACACGATTTAAGAAACCTATTACCTCAACGGGTAAATGAAATAATTGATCAAGTCAGATCTCTGTAATGCATTTGAAGTAGTTTCATTAAAAAATTCACTTAAACACCAAATTAGTAATAAACTAAAAGAATAAATAATTTGATGGCCTATTATGTAATACAAATATTAAAAAACATACATCCGAAAATTATTTGATAAAAACCAAAAAGCAAACCAATTATTGATTATTAAAGGGTTATCAATTTTTAAACATTAAATGACCACAGAACCAGACCGATGGGGAAAATATTCAAGAATAACATTAAGTTTAATTATCGCAATTACCACGCATTGAACAAAATCAACTAATAAAACAATAAAAACAATCCACCAACTAAAAACAGTGCACATAAAGCCTCTGTGTCTGATTTTGCTCCATAGAACCACATTTAATAGTTGCAAAAATCTTAACATAACCAGTATTTTTCAAATTTCGAAAAAGTCAAACAACGCATGTAAAAACTCGAATAATCATTCTAATAATCGATCATGGTTAACACACGCACAGTGGTAAAATCACATAAATGGTTAAGAATGTTATGTGAAATTCATTCAGTATTCATTCCGTAAAAACTGCTTTCCATGTTAAAATTAATGCCAAGAAAATGAAAAACATTCGACAAACTTATCCCGATTATGAACAATTGGCTCATTAAACACATGACCTCTCAGTTGGCTGTATAATCAAATATTTCGCGTCATTATAAATATTTTCACACTATAACTTAGTCAAGTTAGTAGCAAGTAGTAGTTAATTTTAGTTGACACTTACCTGGCAAGTCGGGAGCTGGAAGATCATCAATGGAGTCTTCAGGGTTGGAAGATTTCAGACTTTCGAGACTACACTTGCTGAGCAGAAGAATGCTGACGAGGCTTAAGGAGCAGACAAGAAGCAAAAGACGAGTGAAAAACCTGGTGCCTAAGAGCTTTTTCATTATTACACTCTTGGGCTTAGTTTTCCTGCAAAAAAACATTTGACTTTAGTACGACACTTGGTTGATAAATAATCGTTGAAAACTTGAACCCTTTTAGAACAACAATTTCTGTTATTTTGGTGATCTATTTCTTGACCATTTACAGAACTATTCTGAACTACCAATTATCTTTAATTGTTTCATACTGTTACGTTATAAAATACATTGAAGGCATTAACAATTTAATTGAAATGCGAAAAACTACAGTCCGACTGACGAAATCCGGAATAACCAAAAACAAACTAAATAAAAATTCATTAACACAAACCTGGAAATTTTTTTGAATAGAACAAGTTTTTGTAAAAAGCCTTTTGTTCGAGGTAATAAATGAAGCACGCCTGAACATCAAACATTATATGAAAATAAATGATCCAAGAAAAAAGTGTGCTTTGACTTTGTTAAATGCTTAGAACTTTTACAGCACGACGACCTGAAAGGTTCAAATCAAATACTAGAAGAAATCTTACGACTTTGCATTTTCCTTAGTTCAGCAATCAGGGGTTGCACAAATCTTGCACATGTTGACGTCCTAAAAGAACAAGATCAGAGAAATTTTTATGGCACGTTGTCGATTAGATTAATTTTGAGTTTTCAATTATGGAAACATTTGGGACACCAAAGGTCTCATACCATAAGATCTAATATTTTTTAAATCTCCAGGATCTTTATTTTTAAAAGGAAGTTCTATTTCCAAATACTCTTCTTTCAAATGCCAGCTTTTTAGATGCAAACCATGACCAAAATGAAATCGCTTAAATCGATTTTGAAAATTCGCTCAACTTCCCCGCTATGAAATACAAAAATAAGTCTTAGACGAAATGGATACATAAATCTTTCTATTAGAATATCTACTGTCTATCTCTGTACTGAATATTTGGAAAAGCCCTTGCAGAGCAAAAATGAAACAAGAATTGCGAAACTCATTTGGAAAATTCGCCGAACTTCACCGAAAGAAAATACAAAGATAACCCTGACAGGAAATTTCGGCATAGATATTCTCTATTAGAGCGTGTTCTATCCGACCTGCAACCTTGCGAGGTTTTGAAGGGTTGATTATTTGAAAAAGCCTGAACAAAGCAGAAATCAAGCAAAAATTGCAAGACACTCTCAAAATATATTAGCAACAAAGGAAATAAAAAAAAGATTTGCTTCGGATTTAGAGCTGATCTTTCTCTATTAAACTGAGTATAAACCAGTTTTGTGCATTGCTCGGGTCAAAGGACTGTTTTTTTAATAACCCAAGCATTTAAAATCTGACAACATTCTTTTCAACTGGTCATTGGGACACCTCTTAGGGGTACGGAAAAATGCAGAAAAATTCTTTTGGGAATTTATCTCCACAAAAAGCAATCTAGTTTGCATTATTCTGAACTTGTTTTTCAATTTGTTTGATTAAATGTCGTCAGTTTTACCTGCTGTTTTTGCAAACCCTCAGATAAAACTGCCGATAGTTAAGTGGCGTTTTCTCAAACTTGCCAAACCATCTAACTATCCAAAGGAATGACTCCCAGTATAATTTTCCAATTATCTATGAGTTCATATAGGATTTGAAAATGCAGGCATCCATGAACTTTCAACAGCGACTGCACCATTGAACTAATTACTGAGCATTTTCGATCGGCTAAATTAACCTGCTCAGTTGAGCGGTTAATTCAAGGCACGATGAAGACCACACTGAAGCGAAAATACTTTCAAATCCAAATATTCCACAAATTAAATTCCCGATTAAAGTGACACATCGGTAACGACAAGATTCATTCACGTCTCCAATTTAAACTGAATTAATCCGAGAGACGCCGCCGACCGGAATTCAATACGAGTCCTGCCTATTTAATCCTGAACAAGATCTTAGTTATGGTCGATATGGGGTGAGAATAGCAACTATTTGCCTCAAAATTAAGTTTGAGGTAGTTGAAGACCGAGCATGAGAATGCTCAATTTGCCAAAGATTTCCAATAGCTGGGTGTCGAAAGGTCAATGGTCATTTAAAATCAGCTAGCCACCAATGGATAACGACGTATTAGCAATACCTGCGTTAAATGTAATATTTATTATTAATTTATGCTAATATCACAACGTTCCAGTTGGCTCCCTCTTCAAAATAAACATTTCTTTCAATGTTTTAAAATGCAAATTCATAAGTATGCGCCTATTATTACATATTATAATCACCCTGAACCATTGCAATGTATAAACATAAAAAGGCGGAATAATGGATACCGTGCAACCATAAATCGGCTGACGTAGACCATTATGGCATATCCAGTAGTAAACTAGGTCATAATATAAATAATCCGACACAATTTACCTTTTATGCGGCGAAATTCCCGTCAAAATGGGTCTAAATATGTGGCTTCCAGCTGAAACTATAGAGAATTCGGGGAAACTTCATGCGATATCACTTTAAATAAAATACCCCGCCCGGTGCCAGAACGAAAATGGGGCATGGCCAAAGTTACCACAATACGGAACTCTTCGGAAAACAATCAGAGAACGGCAAAATCTACCGGAGAAATATTTATGAGACGGAAATAATCAACGTGGTCGGAAAGCCGCAAAATACAGCTTTGAGAAAATCCGCAAATGAGACCAGCATCTCCAAAATTACTTATTACATACAATCAAAGGATAATTTAAAGGAAAAACTCTACGAATTGGAAGTAAATGCTGAACATACTGCGAATAACATCTCTAACAAGAAGTATTAAATTTTTTTGATAGATGGAAAGGGTCTCTGAAAGAACGAGTCAACAAAATGAATGAAAGAATTATTTTTTAGATGGTGCCTACAGCCGAATGAATAGAGATTTAGATGAAAATGTTTTCGTGTCGATAAATCATCCAGATTGTGATAATCAAGATACAGTCGTTTAACTGTTAATGAAACATACGGAATTTAAAATCAAAAGTTTGTTTAGATACACCATTCAGGGCTTGCAAAGCTGACAACCTGCAGTCCAGTAGAGATAAAAATCGACAAAAATTCTTGGCTTAGATATAGAAAAACTCCTTTTTCCGAATACTTCTTACAATCTCTTAGTAAACATAGACCCGTGCTTTTCTACTTGGCAAAGTGCTTGCTACATTATAACATGAACGAAATAATGTGTTTCTAAAGGCTCAAAACAAAGAATATTCAGATTTTTGCCTTTGAGCAAAACAATGTTGATTGCGTAATAAGAACTGACAAAGAGAAATGGCATTGCAGTTATTCTATGGAGCTTACTTTTATTGGTGAAAACCAATTCTTCTGAAGCAATAGAGATCTAAAAGTATTGAAATAGACCATTTGCGGTGCAGCGAAAAAAATATCTTAATTGCAAAGAATGAGAAATGAGGACATAAGACAAATGGCAAATGCAGAAGAAACAGTTCCGGAAAAAATAGAAATGAGAAGATTACGATGGTTTGAACATATGATGAGGATGAATGAATAAACATTAGCCCTAAAAATATTTAAATGAAACCCACCAGGACGGAGGAAGAGAGGAAGACCCAGAAAATACGTGAATGGGGGCATAAGTGAAGTAATGGAACTGACGACTAGCGGTGTAATACCCCGTATAATAAGTATAAGTATTTGAAGCTTTTAGACACTCTGGATGGAAATAATTTGCGTTTATTTTCTACTTAAGAAAGGTTTTTGCCAGTGATGGTGCTCTTCCTCCAGATACACATTTGATAAACTTGTTTCTACAGCACTTACACAAACTAATAGATTGAGAGAAATAACAGAATTAAAGTGAGATCATTTTGCCTCGTCGTCACGAGAAAGCCACTCACAGTCAATTAATCAAACAGTGTGACAAAGGACTGAAAATATTTAGTGTCTTTATAAACTATCATTGGTGTGAATTGATGCATTTTAGGCCACAGTGATGACAATTTCCTAACGCGCCAGCATTTATACCACCACAATGAAAATAAGGTAATCAGTTAAAGTAAAACAGATTGGATTTAAAGTTATCACGTTAAGCAGCATGCAAAGTCGTCAAATTTCATATGTTACCATGAAAAGTAATCACCAACTGCAAGAAAGCAATTTTCTGTTCTCGCCTAGGAAAAACCGAAACTAGTTCAAACAATTCTCATTGCAGTCGTTTTTCAAAAATAACAACGTTCCAGTAAATCATAGGGAAAAGTCAATTACGCGTCAGTTCTGGAAAGAAAAGCGGTACGCGAAAACTTTTTCCATTCAGTAGAAGTCAAGCAAAGGACAAAAAAGCCAGCGGCATTTTACCGATCCTTCCAGTCACGACGAAATTTATATATACGGAAACTCGCGGAACGATTTTAATTCATTTCCAGCACTCTGGTAATTCCCAATATTCTAGACGATATTTCATTGAAAAATTTAATCAGAAAAAGTAAAGGAAAGGGTCGCCAAACATGGGTGCCGCTTGTTTTTTATTAGAGGAAACATGCAGTTTTTATGTCCCGTATATTAACTTGTTTTACGTGTGGAATCGTGATTTTCCATAACGAAGCCATAAAGCGATAGGGAGAGAAACTTTATGCAGGAGTTTTTTTAGATTTTTTTGAAATTTTCTAATTTGATTGACTATTATTTATAAAGAAGAACTTGTAAAAGTTGTATGGGCCCCGGTTCCCAACCTATTGAGTATTCTAGTGATCAAATAAATAAACGAATGACAAGAATAAATAAAGGAGATGGAAGTTGTTTCAAAATATTCAATCAAATGATTATCAAAGAATTGAATCTAGAACCGACATCGTTTCCTTGCTGATGCAATATTAATCTTCGGAACAATGCAAAATGCTTTAAAATCTCTTTTAAAAATCATTTTAATTGAATCCACCCTTAAGCCATAATGAGATGCGATGAAGGGCATGATCAATATTGCTTAAATTAACATAAATTTCCGCCTTGCCATTGATATTTTTTAATAACATTGAGATAAAAATTTCGTTGGCAACGTTTTGCTATTCGATTTACATATTTCCTAACGAGAAATCTCATTGAAATTCCATAACTGATTTAGTGAGCAAAGAAATATTTTTCAAATGTAGCGCCTGCATAAAACATGAAAACACTCTTCTGGTCATATTAATCCCGAAGGCCACCGATTTATTTTTTAATTATACTTTTAAATTCTGATGCCATGATAATTGTTCATTTTAGTGATGATAGATACATAGATATATAGATATATAGATACACAGGTCTTGGTTCTTGCAGTTTTGGACTTGGCTTTGTAAAAAAGATGAAACCAACACCAAATTCAAGACTCAGACTAAAACTTTTGCAAGAACCTTTCAAGAATCTCGCAGGTTTTTGATAATTTGATTATTGTGTTATTTTTTAACTTAAATTATTGACATTTTACATGAAATTTATGAGCCAGTATAATCTTCAAATTTCAACAAAGTCAGCATCAGCTTTCTTCAATGAAAATACATAATATGTAGAAATCGGGGTTAATGTTTTATGAGAAGTCTCAAGAATGAAAAGGCGTAAAACGACGTGACTAAAATAACATTAGGTTTTCAAATCATAAGAATACAAACATGGAAAGTAACCAACTTTTTTGCAATAAACTGTGGAAGTTTTACCGGTTTCGATTGACATCAAATCATGCTCAGGCGCTTTCAGAAATTGAGATCAACTAACATAATAATTAATATGAACATATTATGTTATATATTTGTAATAATTCCTCCTTTTTTAAATTTTTCCGTTATTTTTCATATTTCTTTGAACTTTCATCTCAACTTTTAAAGTCCTATTTAAGAGTCTTGTAAATTGTAAAATCTCCTTCGCGTATTTTCGCAAATTTTATGCGCATTTTTTGTATAGGTTTGTTTCATTCATGATACTTTCTGCAGTTTGAATTTATAATATTTTTCTTGAAATGTAATCATATTTTACAAACGCAGTTTAAACGCTAATGTATTTTACATATATAAAATTTGTAGCCTTCTGCCAGATTTTAAAAAGCAGTTGTTTTTTCTACAAATTGTTTCATATTGTATTTTTTTACGTTTCTAACAAAATTTTGAAGTTTTCTGATAACATAGCAAATTCCCAGATTTCAACTGTTTCTAGCATCGAAATTATTTTAAAAAAATGGCTCATAAAATTTATAATACATTAAAAAGTTACGCATCGATAATTAGTTCAATTTAAGATTAGAAGAAAATTTACAGGTTGCTAGTTGATAAGAAAACATACCAACCCAAACAATCCTAGGTTATTTGATTCTTTCGTCGTGGTTGTTATTTATTATATTTGATTTTATTAGTTTAATTTTGCGATTCATCTTAGAGCAACGTTTTCAAGATGTGTAACAGTTAATGTACAGGAATAAAACCAAGACCAAGACTTGATTGAGCTTTCCTGATCACTACTTCGTATAAATAAAAAGGTTGTAAAATATACAATTTCTATCCAGATATTAGTAGACATTTAAAGGCAGATTTTTATTATTTACATAGATAATTATCCCATCTGTTTGTAATAAACTTCTAAATTAGATTCAGTGTATTAACCATTGTTTGCAGGATTTTGCCCTAAAACACATTCGATAATCCGTCAATTATTCACAACAGGAATGGACTAAATTCCGCAGGGGTTTTGCCGGGACTCAAACCATATGCCGAAGTTTCGGATAAACACTGTCGGTTACGGAATCAATCAATTATGACAGATTGTCAATCAATTATGCAGATTGTTCTCGGAAATTAAACGCGGGCCATCATAATATTGCCATGTCGTATTCCGGATAAGACGGAATTGATTCCAGCAAATTACTCAACTGATTCGAACAGAAAAAATCAACAATTGTCCATCGGGGCGTATTTAATTTTAACTAATCGCTGAAACTAGTTAGAGAAGCGACTACATGAATACAATAATAAAATTAATCGGCCAAACGGTTCATCTACGGACAGCTATTGTTAATATCCATAATGCTCTTTTCCCCATGCCATTACAGTGATGTCCAATAAGTCGTTAATTATCCGGGAAAATAAAGGGATTATCTGGCGAGAAATTGAATTGTGTTCCCACAGGTTTCGATCGATTTGAATACATACATCTGGATGCCAAGTAATCTGGTCGGTTAAATTATGGCTTTACTGCACTATTTTAATCTGCGACGTTTCGACTTACTCAGCTATTTTTGCAACGCAATTTTAAAGGTAAATAACTAAACTTAATGAACTAATTTGATGCAGAGATTGAAAACAATTATTTTTTATGAGTTATTTCTGAAACCGTAACACATATGGAGTTCGATTTTTGAAAAAAAAACGGTGATTTTTTTTCTTTTATTAATTTATTCAGAAGGGAGGAAGTAATAGATGACCTCGAAAATATTGGAGCTGTTGGCGGAGAGGAGAAAAACAAACTAAATATCAGAAAGTATAAAGAACTAACTGAGATCATCCGTGAAAACTGTAGGGAGGCCAAAGAAAGATGAGAAAAATGGAAATCAAGTGATTCTTCCAAACTGATTGCTTCGAAATAAACATTATCCGTAAACTTTGCCAATTACGTTCAAGTAGATGTACATACAGGGTTATTCACGCTATACGGCACGGACGTTTGCGGTTAGCCCGTTTGTTTTTTGCAAAGTATTATTTGATGAATCGACAGACGCCTATCG